TCCTGCTCCTCCACAGCCCATACTACAAATTTTTGTCCCAACACGGCGGACGGACATGCCTCCACGCAAGGAGCTAGTTCCTCTGGGGATCCAGGGAAATTGTCAAGAGACAAACTGGGACGCCCAATCAAGTTTCTGGGCAAGTCCCAGATATGTAATAATTTCAATGTTGGGTCTTGTAATTACAGTGGATGTAGACTATTGCATGTCTGTTCAAAATGTTTTAGGGCACATGCAAAGACCATGTGTCCAAATAAAATGTATTCCAAGCCTTACCTAACGTCCATTAAAATGCCAGTATTCACAGCATTTATGTCTCAGCACCCATCTAGACACCTGGTAGACTTTCTTATTTCTGGTTTAACAGAAGGCTTCCACACAGGTATCCTACACATACCAGCCGGAACTCTGGAATGCCCTAACCTACAATCCGCCCAACACAACCCCACAGCGGTTGACACCCTCATAGCCCAAGAAGTGGATGAGGGCTTCGTATTGGGGCCTTTTAGAACTCCTCCATTTGTAGAACCATTGGTATTGTCACAGGGAAATCTTCCCAAAAACAGAGACTCATCATTGACTTATCGGCACCCCACTCATCGGCCACCCCCAGTCTTAATTCCCTTATACCCTCTGAGGAATTCTCTCTGCAATACATCACCATAGATCACGCCATTACAGCTATCATACAAGCAGGGGTTGGAGCCTGGCTCAGTAAGACCGACATTACTAACGCCTTTAAATTACTCCCAATCCACCCCACACTGTGGCACCTGCATGGCATCAAGTGGTCCGGGAACTACTATTTTTTCTCCCGGTTAACTTTTGGGTCCAAAAGTAGCCCAGCTATTTTCGACACATTTGCTGAAGCATTATGCTGGTTACTATTGAACATAGCCAGATGCCCTACGGTATTACATTACCTGGACGATTTCCTACTGGTCAAGGAGAATACTTCGCCTCCCACTAGTCTCAAATCTACCACTAAGCTTTTTGAGCAACTAGGTGTACCCATCTCCCCAAAGAAAACAGAAGGGCCAGACACGGTTATCACTTTTCTGGGTATCCAATTAGACTCTGCCACAATGCAAGCAAGCCTACCATACGATAAGATAGAGAATATTCTCATTTACATAAACAACTACCTACAGCTCGGCACTTGCAACCGCAAAGAGCTACAGTTCCTGCTAGGGTCACTAAATTTTGCTATGCGCATCATACCTCAAGGCCGCTTCTTTATATCATGACTATTGCATCTTTTCCCACTTTTCCTATATGACACGCACAGGTTGTCCTTAGATGCCCAAGCTACGGCAGATCTAAACATGTGGAAGAGATTTTTAACCACTTGGAATGGTAAAAGTATGTTCCTCCCTCAACTGACTGAATCATCTCCTACCATTTGGTCAGATGCGGCATCTACCACTGGTTTTGCAGCAATTTTTGGGAACGAATGGCTTTGGGGCAGCTGGCCTTCAGCAGTTCAGGATTTGGAAGGTGGAAGGTTTTTCCACTACCTCAGCTCTTTTTGAGATCTATCCCATAGTGGCGGCTGCCGTAGCATGGGGTCATTTATGGGCTAATGTGCCAGTGCGTTGTTACTCAGACAACCAGGCAACCTGTCACATCATCAACAAAGGTCGTTCCAAATCTCTTACGATCATGAGACTTCTGAGGAAACTCACTTGGTTGGCAGCTTGTCATAATTTCTTCCTATGTTGTTTCCATGTTCCAGGTGTATGTAACACAGCTGCTGACAATTTGTCTCGCTTTAAATTTCAGGAGTTTCATCAAGCACTCCCGTCAGCAGCGCCCACAGCCACCATCACTCCAACATTTCAACAACTCATACTGGACTAGACATCATCATGCAGCATAGCAGGACATTGTCCCAATTGGCACTTTCAAACAATACAAACAAAACATACAGCAGGGCTTTCACACTATTCAAATGATTCCTTCTGGAACGTAACATCATACAACCGTTTGTTATGACATCTTTTTTGGGGTTTGCTTCCTTTTGCCACCTTAAACTCAAAATGTCATATAACACCATCAAACTCTATCACACTGGCATTCATCACCACATGCTAATTGTACACCCAAATAACAACAGTTTCATGGCCTCTCACCAAATTAAGACCATACTCAGAGGTATTCAGAAATCTGAACCCACACATACAGCCCAGAGGCTACCCATAGATAACCATATCTTCAAAGCATTATCTAACCTGCTTGACTTAAAACCGTTTGCTGGTATTAAGCGACTGGTATTGCCGAGCACTTTTGCAGAGTCTCGGATGAAGGCGCGTGTAGCAGCGCCGAAACACGTGTTAGATAGCTAGATTTTTATCTGGATAGGAGACTGCGCTCGAGTCAATAGACCTTTTAGATAGTCAGTTTGATACTATTGTTTCTTGGCATTGGGTGGAGGGTTTGGCGTATTTGGGGTGGACGCAATCATAGGGATAGTACTCCATGCGTTCTATGAGAGATTAGTTTTCTTCTCTGTGCACTACGCCACTCCACACCGAGGCTTAAATCTGTTGATAGCTGAAAAGGCAACATATACTGTGTATCATTAGATCACTGACTCTAATTGTATCCAAGCGATTTAGCTACTCTGTGATAGATCCTTGTATACCTTATAGGCACAATTCTTCCCCCTGCATATACAATATAAGACTGTCACTATCTTGTTACACTGCAGGAAATTCCTCTAAGCAGTTGTTCAGGAGGGAGATATTCCAACTAGGAGAGATACCTATCTGTATATTACTATCTGTTTAACAAGATTTTTACAAGTGACTATTCAATCGTAGCTACTATCTATACCTAAGTGGGATTTTCTTGTAATTTTTGTATTTCCTTTTTACCCACTCCTAGGGGTTGGTTTGGAGGGGATTGATTTGAATTATTTATCCCACTTAGGGTTACCCTAACCTATCCACATTGGTTTTAACCATATTTGTTTCAGATTATTTTTATGGAATATTATTAAAAGTTAAATTTTAATTTAAACATACTCTAATGGCATTTAACTAGGGGGCGCCCTATTTTCTTTGACCTCTTGGTCTCTTTTCTTCTTTCTTAGTCACACATTAAAGTGAGTGTTATCCCCTATCTTGGACGCCCCAGATACACACCCAACTGGTTCCCCTAGGGGTATCTAGTTCTGCTCTTTTTTCAAAAACCGTTTGACACTAATACAAATTCTATCATCAAAACAGCAATATACATCGCTTTCTATGGATTTCTACAACCTAGAGAATTCACTACAACCTCCACGACCCAAACCACTCCGTTCCTCCTCTATTCCCACACGACAAAACATATGGATCATTACATCCTGACTTTACCTCACTCCAAAACCAGTCAGCACATACCCGTAAACATTCCATACTATCCCACGCACAACAGATGGTGTCCCGTCAGGGTTCTTGATGCCTACATACAGCACCATAACTTACTGCCCTCGCAACAGTTACAACAACTACAAGGTGCAGTACTCACCACTGCAACCTTCATTACCTACGTCAGGTCCTTGCTCACACAGCTGGGCCTCAACGCAGACAAATACTCAGGACACTCCTTTCGTATAGGAGCCGCGTCCACAGCCTCCAGTGTCAACATCCCAACTCATGTTATCAAAACACTGGGGCGCTGGAAGTCATCCACTTACTCACGGTACATACCGAACCCAGTACAAGAATTAAGGGATGCTTTCAAAAACATGTCTGGTTGATAAAATGTATATGTATTGGTTGTCTGTTAATAAATTAGATTACTTAATTTTTGCCCTCTTCTTTCTCAGGCCTACCTCATCGTCGGTTTCGGCACACCACAACCGACTTGCTCCTTTTATTATCCTACGTTTATTCATGGTATTTCACACTGTACTATCTTAAGCACCTAATACAAGTATTAAGGCAATTTGCCTGGATTTGTGGGAGGTGCTGGTTTGCTACCCCTAGCCTACTTAAGGCACTCCCCTTACCTGGCTCCTTACCGTTCGAGGTCAGCGTTGAATGACCCTCCCACCACACCACATTTTAACATTTATTTCCTTTCTATTTCTTTTTCCTGGGTAGGCCCACAACCGACTTGCTCCTTTTATTATCCTACGTTTATTCATGGTATTTCACACTTTACTATCTTAAGCACCTAACACAAATATATATATATATATATATATATATATATACACACAAGTCTATCCAGCTCCTTGGTTTTGCACCCCTCCCTGTCACAGGTGCCTCATCCCAGGTCCCTATTTAGCCTTGTACTGCAGAGAGCCCCAGATGGAATTTTTCCCCCCAAGTGGGTTAAGCTCATAAGAGCAGACATTAGTCTGTTAGAGTAGGACCTGCCAAAGATGGGGTACTTTGATGTTGTGGCAGGCTTATGCAATGTATAATCATATAATGTAACTAAACGCCCATTATTTTTGCCTAGATTAGGTGTTGAAAAATAAACACTAATAAAATCTGTCAACATTGAAGTTGCCATTTAGAGGATAAGTGAGTGCACTGGATCTTGTGTATTGTATAAATTGGCCCTCAGTAGCACCCCATTTATGCATGTTCAGGTGAATGCAGCCCCCTGGTTTCATATATATGACAAAAATCAGGAAAAGCCAACAGTGCAATTTGTCAAATTCAATAGATATAGTAAAAATAGCGGTATTACACTCACATTTATTAGAGTTATAGCCAGCTCTAGCGTATGTTGCATACAGTGGCACAATCTCTACTTGTAGGATATGATATGTGTCCACAACAGTCCATTTCATTGTTAGTTTTTTGAGCAATTTGTGTACAAAACTTGGATTTGATTTTGTTGTTCTTAGTTATTAAAGCATTTGATAAGAACATGACTACAACTTGAGAATATTCACTGATCTTTTGTAATGTGGCTTGCAAAAATATGTAAAGTCCAATTTAATTTCATAGCAATTGGCACTTAAAAAGCATAAGTGAAAGTCAGTAGACTTGAAAAGAAAAAAAAATGGTAAAACATCCTAATTTTAGGACTGAATAAGCAAGGAAAAGAATTTAAGGAAAGAATAAGTGAGGTAGGAAAAGGGAAAATAGACTTGAAGAAGAATGCAGTGTGAGGTCATTGTAAAAAGTCATTCTCCATTTTTAAATAATTATTTTATATCATCTCATTGCAGTATCAACAACTAGCAATTTAGAATAGACATTTATTTAAGGAATTAAAATAATCTACATAAGATAAAAAAGAAAAGAGTAAAAAAAAAAAAGAAAAGCCACACACACACAAAGAGACTGCTCATTATTTCATCCACTTCCCTCTGTCTGTGGATCCGTGCATAAATTAATGTGTAAAAGTGAAACAATTTAGAAAAAAAAATCAAAGCACTGCCATTGTAATTACTACTAGTTAAATAAAAACACAAATAACTAACTTTTAGAATAGAAGAGATATATTCTTGGCAAACACTTATTAGTCACTAACAAGAAGTCATAGTTTTTACAGTGTGGTGCATATTCCGAAAGGACCTTTCTAACATTTCGAAATGAGTACCATATGTCAATTGACCCAAATTAAGAAAATTCCAAGGGAAAGGTCTACCAATAAATGTAATCATACAAAATTACATCACTGTGAGAAAAAAATAAGAAAATATTTTCTGCTAATTTTTTTTTCTTTTTGCAGTGCATATAATAACAAACAAGCTTGCACTGCCATGACAGCAACAGCAAGCACTTCAAGATCAGATACAGTAAAGCATGGGTGTAACATAAGAGAATCTCGCTCAATTTATTGTTTTAAAACAAGGCATATGAGGTATAGGAGTATATCAAGCTTTTTTCCCCAGGAAGCTCACCAATAATTGAAGTAAAGAGAGCATGAAAAGACAGGCAAGGTCAGACTCCAAAACACGAGATCAAAAGTAAAGTAGGGAAGGGGGCACCAGAGTGTTGTAAGGGTGAGTGACCATGTGTGCTTTGTAGCTAAGTCCCTTCATCCTATGCCCACCACGAGCAGAGCACAGTCCAACACTACTGAGAGGTGTTTCAGACCTTCAAGTCCTAGTGGAAGTTGGTGGCTCAGAGCATGTGTTAGAGAAGGGGCAGCCCGCAGTACCTCCTGTTCCTCAGGAGACCTAGTTTTGGTCCACAGCGATACCCTCCTTCGTGCCGCTTTATGTTTAGGCGAACCTCGCTGCCCGCCCCGACACCATGTATTGTCATTCTTCACAGAGAATGCTGAGGACTCCTGGCGGGGACTTGGTTGCCGATGTGAGTGTTTGCTTGGTTGAAGTGGGGTGCACAGACTCATCCTGTGTTCCAGCTGCCGCCAGAAATCATCGAGTAGTTGGTCCAGCCTGGACATAAGATCAGGTGGGTCATCGCTTGCAGCAATGACATATGCAGTCTCCACCATGTAGGGTAGATCCCCCTTGAGGTCATCAGCTTGTAAGTCTAGTTCCTGCATTCTTTTGTGTCTGGGTTGCCTCGAGAGTGTTACCACGGGTTGTCACGTGACCGCTCTCGCAACTTGCAAGAGAAGAGTACTGGCTGCTGCTGGAGGTGTAAGACTACTCTCAGGGCCCCCTCTTCACTGTCCTCCAGCTCCACTGGATCACCAGGGAATCATGTATCCCACCTCCCTGCCCACGGGTAAGAGATGTGGCAGGGTTAAGTTAAACATTAAAAAAAACTGCTCATCCCCACATTTAATTTATCACCATAAACGCACTACACCACAAACACACACTACATGCACTACACTAACACAGACACTGCATCCACTATATACACATACACACACATACTGCATCCACTATATATACATACACACACTGTCATTCTCTTGATAAGGTCAGGTAGGAGACGATTGCCAGAGTTAACTAAAGAGGCTTTATTGGTAGGTTTTGACATATCAGCAGGATAACTTATAGAATTAAATAATGAGAAGGAAAGTGAGAAATAAACTTTAAGGCAATATGCCCTATATAGATATTAAACAGGTATGCTAATAATAAGAAAGCTATAGATAAAAGTATAGATAGAATAGTAAGGCAGGTAAAAGGAACAATAAAGATTCAGGGGGGAAAAATAACACCTTGTAAATAAGAGTAAGCAGCAGTGTCTAGATTTGGGTTATGCAGGGTTATATAAATCAGGTAGACAGGATAAAGCAGAGTTGAAAGTAATCCAGGATGGTATGAAGCAGGGTTGGTATGGAGTAGGGTTGGAAGTAAAACAGGTTGGCAGAATAAAGCAGAGTTGAAAGTAATCCAAGTTGGTATGATGTAAGGTTGGTATGGTGCAGAGTTGGAAGTAAACCAGGTTGGCAGGATAAAGAAGAGAAGCAGAGTTGTAAGCAATCCAAGTTGGTAAGGAGCAGGAGTAGTAGCAAATCAGGTTGGAAGCAATGCAGGTAAGTCACAGTGCAAAACCAAGGAGCTGGCTAGACTATACATATTTAGAAGTCTAGCCAGCTACTTGGTTTTGCACCCCTCCCTGTTACAGGTGCCTCATCTCAGGACCCTATTTAGCCTGGTACTGAAGAGAACCCGAGATGGAAGTATTCCCACAAGTAAGTAACTAATTTAGCAGACATTTGGCTGTTAGAGTAGGACCTGGCAAAGATGGGGTACATTGATATTGTGGCAGGCTTATGCATTGTATGATCATTTAATGTAACTAAACCCCCATTTTTTTTTTGCCTAGATTGGGTGTTTTTAATAAAACTAGCAAAACCGGTCAGCACCAAAGTAGCTGTTTAGTAGATAAGGGAGTGCGCTGGATTTTAATTTTTACTGTACTTATTGGCCCCCAGCAGCACCCCATTTAAGCATGTTCAGGTGAGTGCAGCCAACCCCTTGTTTTCTCATATACATACAGGTGAGAGTCTGAGGTGACTAGTGGCTAGGGAGGCCACTAGAGGCGAGAAACAGGTACTGGATTTAAAGGAACAGTATCAAATGGAAAAAGTCTTGCTAGTCAGGATAGGAACCTGACACACACACACTGCATCCACTATACACCGACACACACTCATACTGCATCCACTATACACACACACATGCATTGCATCCACTATATACATACTGCATCCATTATATACACACAATGCACTACACCTGCATGCAATACACAGACACTGCACACACTGCATCCACTACACAAATACACACTCTGCTTCCACTATACAGACACTGCATAGCAAAATGTATGTGGTTGTGTTTTGCTTGGTGTGGTTTTGTTGGGGTTGGGTAGGAGAGGGGCAGCATTTCATCCTTTGACCAGGGCAGCACAATGCCTTGGGCCGGTCCTGAGTCCAGGATTTAGGGTCCTGTTGTTGTGTCTAAGGTGTTTTTTTTTTGTTTTTTTTCTAAAAACACCTTAGCCACAACTGGATAATCCCTAAATTGTCAGGGGGTACTTGAGACTGACTTAGAGGAACTTAGAGGAACTACTGACTTAGAGGAAGTGATCTCAGGAAACTTCTTCCCAGCACTTCTTCTGAACTGAAGTAGAGCAGCCCGCAGGACCTATTGCAGCTCCTGCCCTTGACCTGGTCAGCCCAGTCCCCACTGGAGGGGCCTGCTCAATGAGCTTACATTCTAGAGGGAGTGGGGTATAGTGACACAAAGGTTAAAAGTAGGGATACGAAGTAAGTTGTTAGAAAAGTATTCACTGAGGGCTTAATAAGTAATTTTTTGACAGTTGCAGGAGAGAAGTCATGGAGGGTGGGGGATGAAAACCTGCTAACAGTTTAATTGATGTGCTTTCTTGAAGAAGTGAGTTTTCAATGATTTTTTGATTGAGTGGAGACTGGGTGAAATTCTTATGGAGGAGGGAAGAGAGTTCCACAGAAGAGGTGCAGCCCTGGAAAAGTCTAGGAGGCGAGCGTTAGAGGTGGGAGTACGGACAGAGGATATACGTAGGTCTTTGGCAGAGCGTAGGGGCCTCGACTGGACATACTTGTGTATTAGGGAGGATAGGTAGGTTGGAGCAGCATTATGCAGGGACTGCACCAGAATGTTAAATTGAGCCCTATATCTAACTGGGAGACAATGCAGGGACTGACAGAGCGGGGAGGCGTGGGAGGTGCGAGCGGACAGGAAAATGAGCCTTGCCACCGCATTTATTATAGATTGCAACGGTGCAATCTGGGAACACATAAGACCACTGAGAAGAGTATTACAGTAGTCCAGGCAAGAGAGAACAAGAGCATGGACCAGCACCTTAGCCACATCCGGGGTTAAAGAGGGGTGGGCGCGCGCTATGTTTTTGAGATGGAAGCGACAGGATTTAGCGATTGATTGTACATGAGGGGCGAAGGAGAGGTTGGAGTCAAAAAAAACACCCAGGCAGCGAGCCTTCGAGGTAGAGGTGATGGTAGCGCCGTTGACTTGGAGGGAGACAGACATGGGAGGGAGGAAAAATCAGAAGTTCTGTTTTGGACCGGTTGAGTTTAAGGAAGTGAGCAACCATCCATTTGGAAATTGAAGAGAGGCAGTCAGAGACACGAGTCAAGATGGGCAGAGAGAGATCAGGAGAGGACAGGTAGATTTCCGTGTCATCAGCATAGAAATGATAATGGAAGCCAAACGAGCTGATGAGTTTACCAAGGGAGGCAGTGTAGCTAGAGAACCGTAGGGGACCAAGGACAGAACCTTGGGGGACGCCGACAGAGAGTGGTTGGGAGGAAGAGGCAGAGTCAGAGAAAGAAACACTGAAAGAGAGCTGGGAGAGGTAGGAGGAGCACCAGGAGGGAGCAGTATCCCGTAGACCAAAATTACGGAGAATGCGAAGAAGCTGTTGATGATCAACAATGTCAAAGGCAGCAGAAAGATCAAGGAGAATTAGGATAGAATAATGGCCGCGAGATTTAGCAGAAATTAAATCGTTGGATACTTTGGTCACAGCCGTTTCGACAGAATGACCAGCGCGGAATCCAGACTGAAGGGGGTCAAGCAGAGAGTTGGTTTCCAGAAAGTCAGTCAGTCTGGTGTACACAACTCTCATGAGGATCTTGGAGGCAAATGGCAGTAGCGAGATAGGGCGGTAGTTGGATGGGGAGTTGGGGTCAAGGCTGGGCTTTTTTAGAACTGGGGTTACAGTTGCATGTTTGAAGGGTGAGGGAAATGTGCCAGAGGAAAGAGAGAGAGATAATTTTAGTGAGGGGAAGAGCAAGAGAGGGAGACATAGTGCGGATGATATATGAAGGAATAGGATCGAGGGAAAAGGTGGTGGGGCGGGAGGACCAGAGCAAAGAAGAAACCTCTTCTGCTGTAGCAGGTGCGAATGAGTGTAGAGTGGTGGAGGGGGTGGGGTTGGGTGACGTAATGGTAGGGGAAGGAGAGAAATTAGCGATCTCTTCTCTGATTGTAGAGATCTTCTCAGTGAAGTGAGAGGCAAAGTTTGTGGCGGACAAGGTGGTAGAAGGAGGGGGACTGAAAGGGCGAAGAAGAGCATCAAAAGTGTGAAATAGGTGTTTGGGTTGATGGGACAGTGTACTTATGAGGGTATATATATTAAATACTATATATATTAAAGTGCAGCCTCTGAATGGACGTGAATGTCCAGGCTCTTAAAACCTAGCAGCTATTGATAACAAGTGCATAACTTTTCAGACCTTGCTTATAGCCAGGCATGAGTCAACAGCCTACTCAGATTCTACTTTGTTGATAAGACTACTCCTAAAAGCTAATATTTAGACTTTTATGCCCTCTTTCCCTTTATGCGAATGGAACCGAAAGCTGGCTCTTGGGCGGCCGTTCGCATGAACCAAACCCACAAAGAGTCCCAGCGGTACTTAGCCCGACCGCTATGGAACTAATTTCGGCATGAGGACTTCAAAGGGAAAAATAATAGTAAAAGGTAAAGAACTCACATTTAAAAGAGCTATGGCCAGCTCTGGTGTGAATGGCATGCAGCGATATGATCCTCGCTTATAGGATATATGAAAAGAGTGCGTCTGTCAACACCGTCTGGTCATCCATATAAATTTTATATTGTGTATTTTAAGATCAGTTAAAAGTTTTTGGTTACTTACTGTGCCATTTCTCTTTTTATTGTATTTTTATGCACTTTTATTATTTTTACTTTCCTGGCTTTTTACTGTTGTTCCTGCACGTAAAGAAATCCCAGGCGGGGATTATACCACCAACGCCTCACTAATAGAGCAGTGTTTCTGCTCTATACTTGTAAGTATTATTTTAGTTACTTTTACTTACTTTTATCCAATTGAGAGCACTATTGTCACCTCTTTCTATCCCTATTTGGAGCCTTGGATGACCAGACGGTGTTGACAGACGCACTCCTTTCTCATATTCTATAAGCAAGGATCATATCGCTGCACGCCATTCACACCAAAGCTGGCCATACCTCTTTTAAATGTGAGTTCTTTACCTTCTACTATTATTTTACCCTCTGGATTTTAGACGTATTGCACTACTAGCTGCCCCTGTCTCCTTGTTTTTCATATAAACGAATACCCTGATACACTAGGA